AGGAGGTTTAGAAAAGGTTGAGGAGGTTGAAGGACTGAGTTGGAATCTTTTGCAAAACTATTTCTTTTTCATTAAGGATACAGTAGAGCAGTAGGGCTGGTACTTATTCAGCGGGGGACATATTTTTAATCCCCCCCCCCCACAAAAAAGGGGAATTAAAATTGTACGCAAAATTGAAAATGTGGCCCAATGTGGCCAGTGTTCAGTTGTGAAATCAGACTCTGAAGCTCTCTTAAGCCTCATCCTTTGAAGTCTTAACACTGGCTGAGATGTGCTGCTTGATATATACGCTGCTTTCAAGCATGAATTTACCGACTCTATTATGTCATACACTGTTTCTTTACCAGCCTTGAACTCATCAGTATCCATAACAATTGATATTCTAAAAAAAAAACACCTTCAAAAAACAAACATTTCTATTTTTGTGAGAAATTTGGAGGTAGGAGAATGTAGTAGATTCCTTCCCCCGTCTCTCTCAAATGGCTTTCAGTTTAAAAATAATCTTGGAAGCGACACACAACTGGCAACAGGTCCATGAGGCTGTTGTGTGCTGAGCAAGGCATTACCCGCATGGGACTGCCAACCTTGCCTCTGCTTCTCTCCCTCCTGGCCCCGCGGGCTACAGACCTGTGCTTTCCCGTGTACTCCAGCCTGCTTCTCCCGGGCACTAGTTTTGTTTCTCACTTCTGAAGGTCTCTCAGGGATCCGAATCTGCAGAGTCATTTGCTAACACACAAGCAAGCGGCACGAAGGGAATGTCCCCCTGCCGTGTGCGGGATGGTAAAAGGATGCCACTGTGCTGGCACAGATTCAGTTCCCAGCAGCTCAGCCTGCTGTGCGCCCAGTGGTTATTTAACAGTACTCTTCCCCCTCCCTTCTCAGTTCTCTAGCCTTCTGCAACACAAAATATGGAGGGCTGGGTCCAATGCAAAAGTCCGCTTGCGCTATAACTCACGTGCAAGTGAAAATGCAAGGATAGGACGATGGCAGTTGTTTGCGCTAAGGCATTCAAAGAAGGGTTCCCTACCTTATTCTCTACATGAGCAGGAGGGGTTAGCTCAGCTAATTAAATCACCATCCAAAGTGCTGATTGGATTTATACCCTGCTCTTCACTCGGAGTCTCAGGGTGGCTTACAATCTCCTTTCTCTTCCCCTCCCCACAACAGACACCCTGTGAGGTAGGTGGACTGAGAGAGCCCTTTCCAGAACTGTCCTTGAGAGAACAGCTCCGACAGAACTATGGCTTGCCCAAGGTCATCCAGCAGCTGCAAGTGGAGGAGTGGGGAATCAAACCCAGTTGTCCCAAATTACAGTCTGCGCTCTTAACCACTACACCAAACTGGTTCTCAGAGAGCATCTGGGAGGCCCAGGCAGAAAGTTCTTGGGCCCCGTCCACTGCCTGCTGCCATACTACCCTATCACACACCCCTTCCTGCCCACCCACCTGTGTTCCACTCCCTAACTGTCCATCCTTCCCCAGTAGCTCACCTGCTTGCAAGCCCACCAACCACCAACACTCCAAACTGCAGGTATTACATGCATTCCCTTACCCGGATAGTGCTGGGTAGCACATGTGGCCAGGAGCATGGCTGGTGGGAGGGCAGGCAAAGGTAGAGATTGTTGCAGTAGCCAGGGCCTGTCAGAAGCCCTGGGCCCTAGCTGCTGCCTCACCTCAGAGTATGCTGACACTGGCCCTACTCCCACCAAGCCACACTTCAAGTTCCTGACTGCAGCTTCTGTTCTAGAAAGGCCTATTGACCATGGGCCAAGGAGGAAAAAGCGAAAGTATTGTTGAACTCTTAGGCTGGAAATAGCCCCTTTGCTTTCAAATAGTTTTTCTGTTGAATTATTAGTTGGACATTCAGAAGTCAATAATCTGTCTATTTGTTTTACAGAATTTATATCCCACCTTTCTGCCCTCACAAGGGCCACGAAGACGACTACCAAATTAAAACATACATAATAAAATCACAGTTAAAAACCATTTAAATCAACCTCCTCAAACTCACACACATCATTGAAAATTAAAAACAGAGCTAAAACGCATTAAAAGATATAAAAACAACAATTAAAACATTGGTCAGGATAGAGGGATCACTGAGGGAACACTCCCCCCAAAAAAACAACAACAACAGCAATCCTTTACCTGATGGCAAAAGATGGCAACAGAAGGGGATAGACAAATTTCTACTCACCCAAGGAGAGAGCTATTGAGAAGTTCAATTGACTTCAAGTCAATGGACAAATTTATGCTGTTGAGAAGGGTTCTCAGTTGTCACACTAGACCGGATTTAGAATTCCATTGAATGGACAAATAGTCTAGTGGAACTGGAGGTCTAACTGGGAACAGTCCCTAACTGTGCGGGTGATTGATCTATCAGAAACTTCTGAACTCCCATGCTCCATGGGAACACCTGCTTGGAATCTCTGTCGATCATAAGGCTACAGTAAGGGCTTAGGTTTTGAAAGTGTACAGCTGTATCAGAAACCTCTGAACTTCCATGCTCCATGGGAACACCTGCTTGGAATCTCTGTCAGTCATAAGGCTACATTAAGGGCTTAGGTTTTGAGGGTGTACAGCTGTATCAGAAACCTCTGAACTTCCATGCTCCATGGGAACACCTGCTTGGAATCTCTGTCGATCATAAGGCTACAGTAAGGGCTTAGGTTTTGAAAGTGTACAGCTGTATCAGAAACCTCTGACCTCCCATGCTCCATGGGAACACCTGCTTGGAATCTCTGTCGATCATAAGGCTACAGTAAGGGCTTAGGTTTTGAAAGTGTACAGCTGTATCAGAAACCTCTGACCTCCCATGCTCCATGGGAACACCTGCTTGGAATCTCTGTCAGTCATAAGGCTACATTAAGGGCTTAGGTTTTGAGGGTGTACAGCTGTTAATTTATAAGACGGTCAAGTTTCATAAGCACTGAGTTTAATTTATTATATTAAGCTTATTCTATCCTTACTTGAGTTTCCACTTATGGCACCTAGTGGTGAGGATATGTGGCATTTGAGGTGCAGTTCCACTTGGAACTACGCTAAATCTGTTTATATTTCTGCTTACACATTGCTGGTTTAAGGTAGAAACTCAAGGCACAAGCCATAAGACCCATTGAAATGAATGGGAGCGGCACAAAAGTACAATTGTGCGAGATTAATAGGAGAATTTTGCCATGTTGGATTTGGAATCCTCACACCAGAGCCCCAAACATCCAAAAATGCACATTACCTTCTTCCAAAGGAGAGCAGGAATTTAAATTTCATCTGCTCCTGCACCACTTCCTATTCTCTCACTGCTGTACTGTCTACCTCCTGAAAAAAATGCTCTAGAGAAATATCTGGTTGTTGTCTTCAATTGTATGTGGCTGTTTGTTTCCTTTCCTGCTTACAGCAATGAACCAATTAAAGTCCAACAAGGCACATGGAAGTAGTATTACTTGGTATTTATGCATGTGTGCAAGAGCCCCAGCCACAAAAGCAAAAATGGAAGGGAGAAAGGAGATGGACTAGAAAGAACTGGAAAGTCGGACACCAGACTTGAAAGTGGGGTATACATCTTAATACCAACAGATGTACCCAAACTGTGACCATCCCTCATATTCACCTTACCAGGCATATACGATGGCCTCCCCAGTGTTTGGCCATGTTCATTCCTGTTTTTCCTGTCCTAGGAAGGCAGCATACTCAGGAATTTTAGCAAGCCCCTGATGAGTCACGTAAATGCCTAATGTTAAACTGTGATCAGTTTGGTGAGTCACAGGTTGTGCAGGCTTAACCCTACACCATATGCGATTATATTCCAGCAACTGCATTGGCCTTTGCAGCTATACTTGGTAGTGCCCAGACGTTGTGGAAAAAACACATCTGGTATATAGAAAAGAACTGATTTTACTTGAACTGGTGGAACAGATTTTTTTTGGGAAAATTGACTTTGTGATCAGTTTACTTACGGTTTAGATACAGTTTTGTAAACTTTAGAGATTTTAATATGTTGTTGAAGGTTTTCCTGGCCGGAGTTCATTAGTTGTTGTAGATTTTAAAGGCTGTATGGCCGTGGTCTTGGCATTGTAGTACCTGACATTTCGCCAGCAACTGTGACTGACATCCTCAGAGGTGTAACACAGAAAGATGGAGTACTCTCTGTGTCAGTGAGAGAAGAAAAATGGTAGGCAGGTAATTTATACCTGCTCAGGAAGGTGGGGTAGGGCTGAGTCATTAGCTTGTAGGAGTTTCCCAGTTAGAGATTTTATTGACATTCTTATTTGGTGGGTTGGATTTAGTCAATTTTTTTTCACTCATTCTAGCCTAATTCTATTTACTATTTATCCATTTACCCAAGACATTATCCAGGCAGGTCCCGTAGTTCCCAGCATAGTCTTTTTGTTAGTCAAAGGGGACTCCCTCCTCCCCTTTTCACTAGGAGAAAAGTTGTCTGAATCCAACCTGATGTGTTCACTTTATTAGAAACCATCTCAAATGCTCAGCATTGGAAAGGGGAAAAAAAGTTTTAAAAAACAAATGTACAACATACCAGTCACAAAGAAAAAGCAAGAGCTGGTTCATTTCCCTCCAAACATCAAACAGACAAATATGTAAACTGTCTCCTTGGAAACCAAATTGTGTTCTAGTTAACTCTGGGTGATGTGAAAAATCTGTCTACATTTGCCAGTCTTTGATGGCTCATTCATACATGAAGCTGTCAGATGATGCTACTGATGTAATGAACATAGTATGTGTAAACTTCAGCCCTAAGTCTGAAGTACACATTAAAACCAGTGCATGATGTCACTTGTAAGGGCCTCATTGTATAACAGCTGTGTGGCTGGTGGCCGCTTGTAAAGCTCCAATAGCTTCTAGCCTGAGGTGAACTGCCACCACGCATGGGATTTTTCAGCCTGCATTGGGAAGCGTCAATGAAATAATGGATTTCCGTACAGTGGCTTCAGCACTTGACTCAGTTATTGACATCTCTTTCTTCACTTTCCATTCTGCTTGCAGGTTCTGTTAGTGAGGAGGATGCCAGTTCAGCTCCAAACCCAGAGGATGCTGAGGACAATGAGGAGTTCCTGGAGCAGCTCATGTCTCTGACATCCCGCGGCTTACCCCAGCTGGAGATTGAAGAGAAATACGACATCACCAAGGAGTTGGGCAGTGGTTCCTATGGACACGTCCTGCTTGTCCAGCACCACGAGAGAGGTGAGACCAGTCAAAGGTCAGATCAATGCACAGGAGGTTCCATAATGGTACAATTCTATGCAGAGTTATTCCAGTCTAAGACCATCAATTTCAGTAGAAAAAGACTGGAGTGACTCTGCATAGGATAGCATTGCAAATGTCTGGAGGTCTAACTGGGAACAGTCCCTAACTATGCTGGCGATCTATCTATCAGAAACCCCTAAACTCCCATGCTCCATGGGAACACCTGTCAGTCATAAGGCTACATTAAGGGCATAGGTTTTGAGGGTGTACAGCTGTTGATTTATAAGATGGTCAAGTTTCGTAAGTGCTGGATATAATTGATTGCATTAAGCTTATTCTATCCTTACTCGAGTTTCCACTTGTGGCACCTAGTGGTGAGGATATGTGGCATTTGAGGTGCCTTGGAGCTCCTGGTAAGGAGGTCTGTGTTCTGTCTCTGGAGCAGTAGGCTGGCCAGAGGCAAAGAAGGAAAAGGTTTCCATAGCTTTCCCACTACCTAGATTAGCAACCTGAAAATAAATACCTAAGCATTGGTACTACTTCTTCACCCTCTTACCTTTTCTTCCAAAGATGATTTAAACCCCCTGTCAGAAATAAACAGGTAAGTATGTGCGATCTCTATGTTGGCATGATCAGTGGACTCTACTTTGAGGTTATTGGTATATGACATCCACCCAGGCATGTCTACACTACAGGCTTAAAGTGGTTTAAGAATAAACCCCTGTTTCAAGGGACTTTGGGGGTGGTAGATCTGTAGAACATGGGAGGTGGTGGAATTCTGTAATAAATGCTCTCTCAGTTCCCAGGACTCTCCATAGGGCCATTGGCCTGATCCAACATTGGCTTCTCTTATGTTCTTATGTTAAACCATGAACTGATATAAAAGCAGCATATATTTGTGACATAGACCAGTTCCGCATACTGACCTTACTCCTGATCTTCTGTGTGGTGGTTCTCCAGGTTTTGGAATCAGCCTGGAATTGAGTACTCCATGCCCCATCCTTTTCCCCATACTATTTCCTGCTTTAAATTCATATCTTTTCTGTTTGCACTGGTCACAATTCGAGGGTGGTAGATGTCAGCGATGTTGTCATCGCTGCAATCAGATCACTTTCCTCTTTTTAAAATTTTCACAGGTGCAGTAGTGATACTGTGCACTAGCGCTAAATATTAATCACCCAACACGTCACTTGTTTTAAAAAAGACCACTACAACATGGCTATTGATCATGTGTCATCCTGCAACATTTTGAGTAACACACCGATGAAAGTCCATTGCAATAAACAGAAATAAACAGAACTAAGAGTGATATTTACAGCAAAAGAATGTGAAACAAATGTCCCACTGCCAGCTACTAAAACTTACTTATCACCCTGGGCTAAGAGGATAGGAAAGGTAGCCCAGGGTGAATGGTATTACCAAAACCAAAGGTGGGAAAAGGTGCGTGGAGGGGGGGGGGGCACACATGAAATTCTGTGTGCTGCTGAAGAAATTAGCAAACTGGCAGTAAAGTACAAACTTTTTGAATATATCACGATAGGGAGCATTAGCAAACATTGATGCCATTGGTGCAATGCAAGGAAAGGGACAACTTAGTTATCATTAATGCACTATGACTAAACTCCATTATAACCAGGGCTTTTTTGTAGAAAAAGCTTTTGGCTGGCATGCATATTTATGGTATGACAAGATAAAAATGGACAGTTTTTTTAAACTTCACTTGGTGAGAAAAGCTTTGTATATGGTATGGACAAGATATAAGAAGTACCAGAGTGACTTAAGACCATTGTGGATTGTACCAGTAGAAGTGTTGATATCTTACTCAAGACAGCGAGGTAGAGACTGGTTGCCATATAGAGATTTAATTAAAAAAGAGGGAACAGAGTGGGTAATGAAAAAGCAGAATGAAATTGAATATGAATATGAGTGGTTGAAATATATGCAGATTTATGATCTTTTTAGATCTGACAAAAAAAACTATGGTTTTAGAGAGGAAAAAAATGAAATTGAAAAGGTTTGGGAGAGTGGAGGAGGAAAAAATATTTCTAAAATGTATAAGGTGTTGTTAAAATGGTATACTGAAGATGAAACTGTTAAAGAACAAATGTTAAAATGGGCTATTAATATGAATAAGGAAGTGGCTATGGAAACCTGGGAATATTTGTGGAAAAATTCTATTAAGATCTCGACATGTACTAATGTTAAAGAAAATTGTTATAAGATGATGTATAGGTGGTACATGACACCTAAGAAGATTGCAAATATGAATCAAAATATGTCAAACAAATGTTGGAAATGTAAGAGGCATGAGGGCTCATTTTATCATATGTGGTGGACTTGTGAGAAAGCTGTAGACTTTTGGACAAAAGTCCACAATGAAATGCAAAAAATATTGAAATGTTCTTTTAAAAAAGCACCGGAAATTCTGCTTTTGGGACTTAAAATGGAAGAAGTCAATACGACTAAAAAGACTTTACTCTGGTACCTGATAGTGACAGCGAGAATGATTTATGCTCAGTTTTGGAAGACAGAAAAGGTACCAGAGGTTGAAGAATGGATACAAAAAGTTCTGTTCATGGCACAAATGGATAAGATTACAAAAAAACTGAATAACAAAGAAGACGATGAGTTTTTTGGAGAATGGAATGATTTTAAAATTTATCTGGAAAAGAACTGGGATGTGAAACAAAACTTAATATGTTTAGATCAATATTAAGTCAAACGATGTTATCTTTAGATTGTAATGATGAAAAACTGATATTGTTGATGATATGAAGTAATTTGGAGCAGGGGTGGAAGCATTGTGGGAAGCCATTGGAGGGAGGGGAGGAACTGGGAATGGGGTAGACAATTGATAGAATGAAATGTTTTATATGTTGTATTCCTGAGAAAATAAAATTTGTTTACCAAAAAAAAAAAAAGAAACTCATTAGCATATCCAGCCACACCCATGAGAGCATAGCTCATTAGCATATTAGGCTGCACCCCCATGTTACCAGAAGTGTGGTCATCCAGCCACACCCGCCTTTTGCTTCTTATTCTGTTTACCTTGTTTGTTGTCAAAACCCAGGGCTTTTTTTGTAGCAGGAACTCCTTTGCATGTTAGGCCACACCCCTAATGTAGCCAATTCTAATGAGTTCCTGCTGTTGGGTGTGGCCTATTATGCTAATGAGTTCCTGCTGGGTGTGGCCAACTTGGAAGCCAGCCGGAACTCCATTCCTGTGCGTTCCTGCCCCAAAATAGCCCTGATTATAACAATTAAAAATTGTGCACCAGAGAGGAGGGGGGATGAAGGGGAATGGGGACAGAAAAGGTAGAAAGGGGGATGGATACAGAGGAGGATGTTCAGAGGTGAAAAATAAAAAATTCAAGCATTTTGCACATGGAATCAAGATGACTTGCAAATGGCTTGAAAATGAAATTGCCCTATAAGTGATCTGGAAAAAAAGAACCCACCAAAAACCTGACAAAACTCTGACACTGACTTGACATGGAGAAAATGAATTGCGGAATGAAAAATTAGAAATGTCATAACACGCTTGTATATCCAGGGTAAAGTATATATGCAGAACAGGTCATAGTTATGTATCCAGAGGTACTGCTGTGTGTTCTGTTGCTTAATCGGATGTTATTTACCAGCTGATGTTATTTATCCATGCTACAGGAAGTTTCAGCTCCCCATTTTCACGTATTCGGCCTCTAATTAAAGGGACAGGGCATTTTTTTCTGCAGGCATGCTGGTATGGTAACTCTAAAAGTGTGCAGGGGAAAGGGACATTCCTTTGTGCATGTGGCATTAGATGTCAAAATATCTGAAGTTTGGACTTCCATCTCACATGTGCACCTGAAGCAGCCTTATACTGAATAAGACCACTGTCCATCAAAATCAGTATTGTCTACTCAGACTGGCAGCAGCTTCCCAGGGTCTTAGGCTGAAGTCTTCTGCATCACCTACAACTTGATCCTTACTGGAGATACTGAAGATTGAACCCGGGACCTTCTGCATGCGAATTCAAGCAAAGTAGCTAGTGAAAAAGAAGCAAATGAGTTTCATCAGAGACCATCCTCATTTCCAAACTGGGATTGATTCTAGCTTTCTTCAACTGTGGTTGTAGAATTAAAAACAGGTTCCGGGGCTATGCCCTGGCTCCAATTAAGCTTTGGCTAGGATTCAACTACCGCTCAGCCCTAGCTGTTCCTGGCTCACAAGCCTTGCAATTAATTAGCTGTGTCATCCCAGGCATGTGGGCAGCTGCCAGCAAGCAGGTGCTGTGTGGGCCGTGCCTCAGAGAACCTCCTGGCGAGGCGCAGCAGCCCGAGCAGCAAGCTGGCTGGCCTTGCAGCATGTGGTCTAGCAGCTGTGAAGGAGCAAGTGAAGAGCCAGCCCTGTCTGTGCACACGTGCAGCATAAAGCCGAGGAGGGCAACAGGTTCAGCACAAAGACCAACGTCTACAAGAGACAGAGGTGTTCTACTCTGTCACTGATGAGGAATCCTCTGTGGCTCAAGTCAGCCTAGTTGCTTTTGACCTAGAAGGCCCTCGTTAATACGTATGAAGATCAAACCAGTCAATCCTAAAAGTAATCAACCCTGACTGTTCCCTGGAAGGCCAGATAATGAAACTGAAGCTCAAATACTTTGGCCACCCAATGAGAAGGGAGCACTCACTGGAGAAGACCCTGATGCTGGGAAAGATTGACGGTCAAAGAAGACGAGGACGGCAAAGGATGAGATGGTTAGACAGTGTCATAGATGCAACGAACATGAAATTGAGCGAACTTCAGAGGACGGTGGAAGACAGGAAGGCCTGGTGTGATCTGGTCCATGGGGTCGCAAAGAGTCGAACTCGACTGTGCGACTGAACAACAACAACAAAAAGAAATTACATACTTAGACTTTCTTTTGACAAAGGCTTTCATAGAAAGCTCCTGAGTCCTATGGCTTCTTAAAGACTAACAACTGTTGCAAATTTTTGTCATCTGAATTGGATGAATTGGGCTACAATCCAAAGCCATGCTAGAATGAGTTTGTTAGTCTCTAAAATGCCAAAGTGTCCTTCCTTCCTTCCTTCCTTCCTTCCT